GCCTCAGGGATTTTTTTGGGAGCACGAAGTAAGTATCAGTCCTGACAGATGTGACTAGACAAGAATTCAAAATTTTTATTTAATTTTTTTCAGTAACACAATAAAAGGTTAGTCCTTTTTAAAGAGAAAGTGTGATGTGCAATTAACACACCACACTCTTTAGAGCATATTTGTGCTAATGTGCCACAATAATAATCAGCTGTATAACTAAGATGAACTTGGACTGCACTGGAGTGTAATTCTAAATGACATTTTACTTGATCATACTTACTACGTCTGCATAAGTCCTTTTTTGTGTTACTTATTGCTGAGAATCATGGCTGTGGATCTTCTGCACTATTTCTTATAGCACAATGGATTGTGGCCAAAAGAAAAACCCCTTATTGGCCAGTATGAAGAATATATAAATATAAAATTCACAAGAATTTAAAAATATGTTTTCTGTATACTTTCTTTAAATCTTAGAGTAAGTCCCAGTTCTTGGTGTAAACTCCGCTCTCCGCTTGAGGAAATGCTGCTTAATGAGAAGTTTAGGAATTGCAGTGATGATGGTAGACGGCTTGTTATGGCTAATTAAATTTGTTCTGAACATTTTTCATTTAAAGTCACAGTGGGGATGGGAACTGATAAGAATTCAGCAATTCTGATTCTTATATCAATATCTCTTATTGATTCCCTTCATGATGCTCATTGGCTTCACTTTGAGTCACCACCATCTCTAAGCAGCTTTTCAAAGACATTATTAATGCAAATTAATAAAGTGCTTTGTGGTCAAATGTTTGTGCATGTTGGACAAACAATTTCCTTCAGGAGAAAATGACAAGATCATACATACCGTTAGATTCTGTTTAGTAACAGAGAAAATGTCTCTGCAGTTCTACAGTAGCATTTGGTTTGTCTAATTAAAATCATATTGTGTGCTCTGTGTGTGTGTATCTCCAGCTCACAGTGCTATAACTGGTACATCTGCGTGCCTGGGTCTTGGAACACTGGCTTTCTTTACAAAAGTGGGCAAGATGGAGGGATGGAAACTTGCTGGACCACCTAAACTATAAGAGGAAGATGCCTGGAAGATTGTTATATTGTAAAAAATACCTAATGTAATAAAGTTTTTTGAAAAGGCCAAAAGAAATGTTGGTTCATTTTATTTGATTTCATTTTACATTTGAAAACACTTTTAATTTAACTAGCTGTTGATCTAGAAACTGGAAAAAATGTTCGGCTATAGCTGTGTCATATGGTTCTTATGTTTACAGGTTTATGTGTCCTTTTTTTTAAAAAAGCCTGGAAGTAGCCTAGCTCTTAATAATGTCATTTATTTACACATGCCACAAAATGTGCAAAAACATTGTATTTCTGTGTAATTTAGTGTTAAATATTATTGTTAATGACATTAACGAGTATTTTTGTTAGACAGCAGGAAAGTCGGATGGTTGCCAGAATTGATTTATTGAAAATTTGCCAACAGCGCAACGAAAAGGCAATTCACAGCAACACTGAGTGAAATGCTGAGTACAGTACAAATGCATCACCTTCTAATTTTCTACTTTTCACATATGTTTGTGGATGTTGACAGGACTCATTTCCTGTTTTTGGAAAACAAAAACAAAACTGATGTATTGCAGACTACAAAAGCATACTTCAGAAGATGGCACTGGTCACTGCAAACTCATAAAACGTTTTTTT